CTACTACAAGAACATTGACACTGAAAATACAGTGACCTTGATATGGTGGCTCAGGACTGTAATCCCAGCACTTGGGGAACCAAGACAAGGGGTTCTCTGTGAGTTCAAGGACAGCCTGAGCTACACTGTGAGTTTGAGGCTAGCCTAGACAACAGAGTGAGAACTTATTTCTCCAAAAAGAGAGAGAGATCCTTAATGTAGCTAACCTTTTGTGCTTTGTAAAATAGACTGCTTGCTAAATTCCGTTAGCCAACATTTGTTACTTGTTTGGCTGCAACTGGGGAGCATGTTCCTTTGTATGTTTACAATTCTATCTGCTAGAACTTTACTCTCTGGGAGAGGGAAATATCTGCCCAGAACCAGGCTTACTCTGCCAGTACATGCTGAGCAACTGAGTGGCAGAGCACTTTAAAGAGTGTTGCCACCCATGCGCAATTTACTAGTGAGTCAATAGTGACACAGACTTATGGACGATTTTCTCTGGGTTTGACACTGTCTTCATGGAATTGTCCATTTTACAGCAGTTCTTTGAGGCTGATCCCACTGCAATTCTTTCTGTGATAAACAGAGCAACCCCAAAAGAGAGTAGTCATCCTGATCACCTCAGTCATAGACAGACCTTGTCAGTGATGTTAGGCACGTGCTGGCATACACTACTGGGTGGCTGCCCAGGCTTCTTTTCACCTCCAGGTGTCTTTAAGTGAGGAGGTCCCCTAACAGTTAGAACAGGGTCTGGCTCTGACTATTACCTGCCTTTGGATCCTGTTCCTATTGCTGGGCTGCTTTGTCTGGTCTCAGTGGGAGAGGAGGCACTCAGTCCTGCTGAGACTTGATGTGCCTGGGTTGGTTGGTACCCATGAGAAGCCTTCTCCTTCTCTGAGGAGAAGGGGAAATAGAGAGAGGGTAGGAAGGTGGGGCTAGGGGGGGGCAAGGCTGTGATCAGGCTGGAAAGTGGATAAATGAATGAATTAATGAAGAAAGACATAAAAAGGATATTGTGGCTCTGAAATTACACATCAGATTCACTGAACAGACAGGCAACGTGGGTAGTTGGTATAGGTCTTTGCTGGATTAGCTATTATTTTCCTGCACTATTGAGAAGCAGGAGGAGCTGTCCATTGCTTGTGCCAACTGGAAATTATCCTGTTTACATAATAGTTTGGCAAAAACTATGTATAAGAACAAGAACATAGGTAGATGAGAGCATTTGATATTTAATATGTATTCTTTACCTACCAGATGTCATTTGAAGTAGACATGGCCTTCAAGGGAGCAAATCCTTCCCCCACCAGAAGTCTGTGTTATGACCCCTGTCTGGTCATCTGTGGATACCCTGTGTGAATCATAGGCCCCCACATGCCGAGGCTTCAACAGGACTTTGTGGACCTTGGTATAATAACCTGTGGAGAGGTAGCTCCCTTTCCTGGTCTAGTTTCCAGACATGATGAAGGCAGAAGTCAGTCTCGTTGTAGGAAGTGCTTTGCTGTTGCTGACTGAAAGCATCTGAAACAATTTACTGGTGATTAAGAATGGATTAATACGACAGAATTCTGGCTTGTACCAACTGGAAATTATTCTGCTTACATAATATTTTGGCTAAAATTATATTATAAAAACTTCATAAGAAAAGAAAGAGAATATCTAGGCTGATGAGGAAAGGCCCTAGTGGCTAAAAGGGAGGTGAAAAGAAGGTTGAACCTACAACTTTGAGGTGATATGTATGCCCAGTCTGCTTTATTTCAGTAATATTAGTTTATTTCTAAAGTTTTATGGATTTTTTGGGGGGTGGGGAAGGGCTTGTTTTAGCTTATAGTTCCACAGTCCATGGCTGAGAGCAGACAGGGACAGAACCTAGAGGCAGGAACCTGGAGGCAGGAACAGATGCAGGGAGCATGAGGGAATGCTCCTTACTGGCTTCCTGCCATGGCTGGCTCAGCCTGTTTTCTTCTTGCCTTGGTTTGGTGCCACCTACAGTGATCTGAGCCCTCCCACATCAGTCATCAATCAGGATGCACCATAAGCCAATCTGGGGGAGGCTGTTTGCTCAGTGGAGTTTCCTTCTTCTAACATGACTCTAGCTTGGATCGATTTCATATAAAACTACCCATTTACAGTCAGCTTATAGAAACAGAATTCCTTGATGAAAGACAGAGCCAATTCTTCTTGAAGAAGGAGCCTATAAGAATAATACTGAAATTTTTATTGATAACTTTTCTTCTCCCTTTCTTTAAAGGACCTTTTAAAAGTGACTTTTATTTCAGGATAGCTATGCACTAAAGGAAAGGAAAAAAAACCATACTATTCCAAAACTTCTGTTTACTGGGTCTGAATTGATGCTATTCTAGGTGGCCATCAACATTACTAATGGACCAATCAGAATAGGGTTTATGGTAACCAAACACTGATGGGTTATAATTGAAACCTTTCTTTTGGTGAATTTGTGAGTACACAAACCTACTCCCTGGGATCTCCCTAGTTCCACAATGCAAGAATAGACATGTTTAGTAACTAGCAGAAAAAAAGATATAGACTCCTTGATCTGTGAGGGAAGTGATTAAAGGCTAGCAGGTATAATAGTGCATGTCTTAAATCTCACGCTTGCAGTCTGTGGCAGGTGGATGGCTGTGAGCTTGAAGACAGTCTAGGCTACATTGCCAGTATAAGGACAATAAACATTCTCTAACCTGAGAGAGAGAAAGCAAGAGACAGAGACAGAGACACAGAGAGAGAGACAGAGATTGAAGGAGAAAGAGAAAGGGAGGGAGGAGACAGAGACATATAGAGATAGAGAGAAGAGGGAGGCAGAAGAGAGGAGGAAAGAAGAAAGAGAAGGAAGGAAGGAAGGAAGGAAGGAAGGAAGGAAGGAAGGAAGGAAGGAAGGAAGGAAGGAAGGAAGGCTAAAACAAACACTTGCAAAAGGTCAGACTGAAGCTAGCACCTAGGCTGGGGAAATACTAAAGCAAAAGCAATACTGCATTCCTGAAGTAGTTGCAGTAATTCCAACTGCAAGGACTTGAAGAATGTAGGATTCACTACATCTTCGTTCACAGCACCTATTCAGCATGTATAAAGGAATGACAAATCTTGGTGTGTGGAATTATGTCTGGGTCTTGAATTAGATTCCATTGATCACTGTGTCTGTTTTTATGCCAGTGCCATGCGTTTTTGTTACTATGGCTCTGTAATAGAAGCTGAAATTGGGATGGGAAGAACTTTGGCAGTTCTGCTTTCATTCAGCATTGTCTTTAGCTATCCTGGTTGTTCTGTGTTTTCCATTTGAAGTTGAAGATTGCATTTTCAGGTTTGGGGAGTATTGTGTTGTATTGCTCTAGCTAAGACGTCAGGTACTCTAATTGAATAAGCACAAAGAGAGTGGACATCCTCCTCTTGTTCCTGATTTTGGTGGAAATGCTTTGCTTTTCTCTCTTTGGGATGCTGCTGCAGTGGGTTTGTTGTAAATCACTGTTATTATGTTGAAGAAAGTCCCCTGTATCCCTAGTATCTTCAGAACTTTTGCCATGAAGGGACATTGAATTTTATCAATGGCCATTTCTGCATCTAATGAGATGATCATGTGTATTTTTAAATTTTAGTCTGTTTATAAGGTGAATTACATGTATTGATTTACCTATGTTGAACTTTAATCTCTGGGATAAAGCCAGCTTGGTTGTGGGTAATCTTTCTGGTGTCTTCTTGGATTCTGTTTGCAAATATTTTATTGAGAATTTTTATATCTGTGTTTATACACAATATCAGTTTATAATTTTCTTTCTTTTGTTCAGGTCTTTTGAGTGTTTTAACATCAAGATAGTAAAAGCTTCATTAAAATAATTGGGAAGTGTTCCTTCAGCTTATATATTTTGGAAAAATGTGTTCTTCTTTGAGTGTCAGGTACAATTCTGCACTGACTCAATCTGGCTCTGAGTTTTTGTTTGTTGGTTTTGGGTTTGGCTGGGAGAATTTTAATTACTGCTTCCATTTCACTAGAGGTTATGGATCTGTTTAAGTTGTTTATTTCATCTTGACTTAACTTTGGTAGGTTGTATATATCAAGAAATTCACTCCTTTCACTTAGGTTTCCTACTTTGGTGGAATACAGAGTTTTAAAATGTGCCTTTATTATGCTATGGTTCAGTGGTAAGAGCACAGGCTGCTCTTCCAGAGGACCTGGGTTCAATTTCAAGCACCCACATAGCAGCTCACAACTGTCTGTAACTCCTGTCCAAGGGGACTTGACACTCTCACAGAAATATACATGCAGGAAAACACCAATGCATAAAAATAAATAAAAATAAATTAAAAATAATTTCCTCAATGTATGTTGTAGTCTGCTTTTTATCTCTAATTTTATTAATTTAAATCTTCTCTCTCCATCTTTTAATTAATTTGTCTAAGGATTTGTGAATCTTGCTGATTTTCCTAAAGACCCAAATCTTCATTTCATTGATTCCTTGTATTTTTTCTTTGTTTATTTCTATATTTCTATTTCATCAGTTTCAGCACTAGATCTGATTATTTCTTCCTTTATAATATTTTTTGTTTTTGTTTTTTTTTCTAGACAGTGTTTCTCTGTGTGGTCCCAGCCATCCTAGAACTAGCTCTATAGACGAGTCTGGCCTCACATTCACAGAGATCCGCCTGCCTTTGCCTCCTGAGTGCTGGGATTAAAGGCATCTTCCAGGGTATTGTTTCTTCTTGTTTTTCTCTAGAGCTGTTAGTATGTAACTTGGTTATTATTATATCTATCAAGGTTTTTTTTTTTAATGTAGGCACTATAAACTTACTTTTTATACCTGCCTTCATGGTGTTCCATTCTTTTGGGGATTTTGTATTTTCATTGACTTCTAAAAAGTTTGTAATTCCCTTCTTGATTTCTGTCTTGATCCACTTTTCATTCAGTCGTGAGTTCTTCAATTTCTTTAATTTATGAACTTTGTAGTGTTTCTGTTGTTGTATACACATATGTACACATAAAGTTATTAACATATTTTCTTTTACAGGTATAATTAGAATTCATCAAAATGTCAGGTACAATTTTATTAATTTCCTGAACTTTATTTTATTATTGTAATTTAAGTGTGTATGTGTGTGTGTGTGTGTGTGTGTGTGTGTGTGTGTGTATTTATTTGCACATGTGAGTTCTGGTGCTCACGGAAGCCGGATGTGACTGATCCTTATGAAGCTGGAGCTACAGGCAGTTGAGAGGTGCCTAGTGTGAGTGTTGGGATCTGAGCCTCGGTCCTCTGCAAAAGCAATAAGCACTCCTAACTGCTGGGCTCTCATGACACACACACACCCATTCTTTTTACTATTCGTTGAAAAATGTTTTGCTTTCATTTGCAAATTATATGATTTTTTTCTATGAAGGAGTGTATTTTATTCTCAAATATTTGATCAGTTGGCATTTAGATATATGTGTGTATAAGTTCAATTCTGCATCTTAACTCTCTGTAAGAAAAGAGTAAGAACAGCTTTTATTTGCATGTACACCTTAAATGTCTCTAAGGTTTTAGAAGGGCTCGAGTGAAGCAAAAGAAAGATGGTGAAGCAAATCCAGGCAGAAAGGGCAATGTAGGGGCTGCGGTGGCCTTCAGCCTAGATGCAGAAGAGTCAAGTGTTGAGTTTTGTTTTTTGTTTTTTTCAGTAAATGATATAAGAAGAGAAACATCACAGTTATGGTCTTTTGTTTCTTCCAATATAAAATTCAATCATTTATTTATGAAATTGTAAAACTATATAGACTTTGTATGTCCACCCAAGTTCCGGATAATGACACGGAGACTTATGTTTATTTGTAATAGCTTTAGGCCTTAGCTTACCATTGTTCCCAACCAACTCTTGTTTAGTCTATGTTCTGCCACGTGTTTTTTTGCCTCTCCTCAGTTCTGTATGTCCTACTTCCTCCCTGTCTCATAGGGAATCTTTTAGTGCCTCTTTCTTTCCCAGAGTTTCTGTCTCTCCGGAAGTCCTCTACCCTCTCCTGCCTTTGCTATAGACCATTAAGGTTTTTATTCAACCAATCAGAAGGTGATGGAGAGCAACGTTTACAAAACACTGAGGCAGCTGGTGCTTAGCAATAGCAAAGTCTAGTCTGTACTCAGCTCTCTGCTAGTGCAGAAATCAGTATTTGAATATACAAAGGCAACCTTTACACAGCACAAAAACAACACACAAAAACTGAGACCCTTTCTTATAGTGAGTTAGGTAAGGCTTTCAACTAATCTCCACAAGAGCACAAGCTCTAACACCATGAAGCAGCTTCTGTACTACACTCGAAGCAACCACTGTGACACTTTGACCAAGTGGCTTTTAAGAAGAATATAATATATAATATAATATAATATAATATAATATAATATAATATAATATAAT